CTCGAGTCTACAAAGCAGTTTTATGCAGTGACCGATGATTTCTGGCTTGTGACATTTATTGGAGCCATGGCAGATTTTTGATGCATTTATTGTGCTCTTTTGACAAATTCTCTCACTGCCCAATCCTCATCCTGTTTCACACAGAAAAGCCTTTTGGGTGTCTCGATCCTGCAGAAAAATCAGTATCATTATTTTGCTCTCATATTCCCATATTTTACTGTCAATAGCAGAGGTACAGTTTTGATGTGGATAATCATACATGACTTACTTGGCAAATATTAGTGATCGTATCTAAGAGACAATGAAAAACAAACTTACACAAATGCTGGTGTGGAGCACTGACTGTGAGTTTTGTTGATGGAGACGATGTTCGCCTTTGGGATCCGTTTGTCAAAGAAGTCAAAACAGCAAAAGTCAGGTGAATTCACTGCCTTAGCTGTAACAGAGAAACAGGGATTACTCAGTGCTGCGTCTGCTTCTAATGACTTCTCCAACATGTAAAATAAAAAACCTACAATTTCTCGTGTTATAATAACATGTTGAAAAATATTCCTATCCTGTCAAAACTGGGAAAAATCCAACACGAGTGCAAAACAGAACACATAAATAAGAAATCCTGAGTAAGAAAAATATTTTAAACACTTACTAATTGTTATTAATAAGTTTTAATTGTTGTTAATTATGAATCTGACAGAGTAAGTAAAGTAAGTGTTCAAAGTTTATTTATTAACAGGCAGTCACAAAGCGCTGTACACAAACGGCTAAAATAAACAAGAACATTAGTAGCTTAAATAGACAATACAAAAGATTAAATAAAATACGGTAAGGTTAATAGGTCGTTTTAAAATAAAATAAAAACAAACAACAACAAAAAATCCTGTTTAAACAGAAAAGTTTTTAAGTAGTTGTGGTGGTAGACTGTTCCACTGTTCTTGGTGCCACAGACTGAAACGCTCTGTCTGCTCTAGTCTTTAGTCCCGTACGGGGAACAACCATCAAACTCTGAATCTGGGAATGGAGACAACGAGCAGTAGTGTATTTTAAGCCGAGATAAATCATCTGGGGTCTGGGCATTTACTGCTCTGTATCTTAAAACAAGAATTTTAAATTGAATTAAAAAATATATTGGGAGCAAATGTAAAGAATATAAAATAGGAGTGATGTGAGCTTGCTTGCTAGAATGTGTGAGAAGACTGGTCGCAGCATTTTGTATAGCTTCAGGAGAGAAAGAGATGATTTGTCCAAGCTGGTAAACAGGACATTACAATAACCTAAACGTGATGACACAAATGCATGAAGAATTTTTTCTAGTTCAGCTGAGAAGACCATATGATAGAGATGTTCATTAAATAAAAGAAACAGGAACAAAACAAAGATTTTACATGCGAGTCAAGACCCAGAGAAGAATCAAATATTACTCCAAATATTTGACTTAACAGTTGGACAGAAAGAAGCAAGAACCTGATTGATTTTAGCATATAGTTCAGGAGGAGCTATGATCATGGTCTCAGGCTTGTTGTGTTTAAAACAAGTTAATTGCTAGATAGCCAATCAGTAACCTGAGTTAAGCAGTGGACTAGGGTGGACAACCTATCCAGCTGATGAGGTTTAAAAGACATATATATCTAAATGTCATCGGCATAGAAATGATAAGAAATGTCACTAAAAGATTGATTAATGCCAGCTAAAGGAAGAACTTAGAAAGAAAATAATAATGGACCCAAAACTGAACCCTGTGGAACCCCACATGTTAGGGAGGCAATGTTAGAGGAGAACCTGTCTGTTCTAACAGAGAAGGTCCTAAAAGATAAGTAGGAAGAAACCAGTCTAAGGCAAAGCCAGATACACCAGCCAAAACTTCATATCGAAGGCTGCACTGAGATCAAGCAAAATGATCACCGACTTATTCCCCACATCA